CACCGTGTTTATATCAGAGGACAGAGACACGCGCGCCGTTTTATATTTCTTAAACAATAATTATATGTGTAAAACTATGGTCAACTGTAATAACAATAATAATAATGACAATATAAATATGATGATGATGATGATGATGATGATGGTGTTATTATTTTGCATTTACCTCTGGATGGAAACATGGTAGCAATGGAGAAGGATCCACCATTCTGAAAAACAACACCAATCAATTGCCAGTCAAGGGCCATCATTGACCGGATTTTTTATTGCCGTGGAAGTTTAAGTTTTGCGGTTATTTGTCAATAATCCATTCATCCGATTTAAGGAGGTAATCTTACAGAATCTTCATTCATAGAGCATAAGCACTATCAATTTTTTGATTTGAACAAAATCTTGTAAGGGCTGCTGTTCAACCATGTCCATTAATAAATCACTCAATCAATCAATGAATCAATTTATTTAACAAACAGGAACTTAATGGATGTTTAAATTAATCACTGGACAAGCCATGGAGTGAATCTTGCTACACCCCTACACACCTCACGCGGTGGTTACTTGAATATGAGTACCGCATGGCACTATGATAGACACGATATAGAAATTAAAGAAAGTTATAGTGCTTAGAAGGAGGCAATTCCGGGAAAGACCCTCAAGAACAAATTCGGAAAAATTAATTTCCGACCTCGCTGGGATTCGAACCCACGACCTTCTGATTTGTACTACCGATGCTCTACCAGCTGAGCTACAAGGCCAGACTGGGAGCAGGTCGGGGTGGTTATTCGGCTTGTTCCCAGGGATATGGGCCACGCGGCTATAAGAGGATACTTTATAGTTTGTACTTACTTGTATAGGTGGTCTTGCAGGGAAACGGCTTCGGCAGCAGTCACGTTACCCTGAATTAAGCTCTCGAAATATAGCTGGGCTTTAAAAGATATTGCGAAATTCTGTAAAATATCAAATGAAAACGTAATCAGTTGAATGAAGTGCATACGGCTATCTGGTAAAACTTTCAGAACTAAGAAGACAGTGTTGCTTTATAGTGTACTTTAAGACTGAGATGTATTGACATTACAGAAGATCTCGTATGACAACGTCACGGATCACAGCACGGACACGGCACGGCAGCCTCGCCTTCCAGTGATTTCAAATAAAAATATAGATTCGACGATAAATTATCGCACAGGCACTGTACGCGTGTTTTTTGAACAGACATACGAAGTCCGCTGTACGCTGCACGGTGTCTGCGGTACACAATAACACTCAATTTTAAACTGAACGGTTTTCCACTTTTAAGTTCTTGACTGAACGGTGACTGAACGGTGCTAGTATATAGTCGATTGACAAAAGGTTGTCGTCAATCGGGCTAGTCGCGTTTCGTGAAACCCGGTCGACGACAACTTTTTGTCAATCGACAATATTCATTCTAGACTCATGAAAACTCCTCTTGAACGCCGACAGGACGACGAACAATGCATTAGTTCTTGGAATCAGTATTCAGTGGCCGAAATAGCTGTACATGAAGTATGAAGTATATATCTACAACGTCTTCTTTACCTTCAGATCATCGAGTGTAATGCTGTCAATAGCTCCCTCTTTCTCAACAATGGACCATTTAACTAGCTGAAGAATGGACAACCTTACAGACCTGAATAATAGGATTTAAGAGATTAATGAGATCAAGACGGCGGGGTGTCACCGTTGTGGGTAGTATTTTTGCTGCTGCGAAGTGTGATTTCTCCCCATCGAGGAGTTACAAGAAAATATTTTCTGTTTTGGAATAAGCAGTGAAGAGGCAAAGGGAAGTTAACTTAAGAATGATTGATGAGATGAGCTTCCGAGGATTTACTGAGCAGTCGCCGAGAAGTTATCGAGCAGCGTGTCTGAATATTGGTCATTGTGGGATCCATTTTTGAATGGCTTCCAGATTGATAAAATTTCTGAAGAATCTTTCTTTTTACAAAGAAATGTATTCTTGATCAAGTAACTATTAGATCCTAGGTACAACTATTCGATAATCCCTCGATTACTGCTGGATATTGCTCGTTGACTACTCGGTAAACACTTCTTTAACCCACGACGTTTCACCGGTCAATTTTGCCCCTATTATACTACTCAAGTCATGATTTACCTGACAAGTTTGTTTGGTTTGATGATGCAGTTCCTGTAAACTCTTGATAGTTGTTTCTAGGGGAAGTAAAAGAACATAATTGACTGACTTTAGTTTTTCTTTAATTTTTGAAAATTCTTTGCCAGCAAACATCGTCTAGAAAATTAGTATCAGGACTCTCTTGAGGTGGGTTGGGACGTGCCGTTCCTCCCCATTTCAAAATAACCATTAAGGCATTTTAAAAATCATACCTTGACAACTTCAAAGATTTGTTCCGTCACTTCAAAATTTACAAAATGTTGGACAATGGTCTGGAATAACAGCTGCAGACAACAATTCATCAAGCATTTAGTATGTTATTGATATATTTAATTACTATTTTTTAGGGCTTTTTTTAGTTTTCTAGATAACCACCTCGTTGATCTAATATTACACTATACAGTTGAACCCCACTTTATAGAGGGTTCGCTGAGTCCTGGCGAATTAAAAACATTTTGCGATGTCCTTTTGAAGACCTTAGGGGCCCTGTCTTTTCCAGTCTGCATGTATAACTTACTAGTAAGCTACTTACAGGTAATTTATGATTGAAGCCATCCAGTTTTAAAACAATTCCACTTTCATGTACGTTCATTGAATAACTACAAACACACAGCAGAAACAGGTTAGTAGAATGCAATCATGAAGCTAATAGTCAATATGACAACAAGTTAGAGTCATTGTCAGCCGTCGTCTGTGAAATAATTACTACTAGTCAGTGTTTAATAGTAACTATTAGTGTGTAGTAGGCTACCAAAAGGCAAAATCAAAACCATGTTTGCCTAATTAGTTTGTCTCATGTCATAAGTTAAACTATTGGGAGCTAATAGGGAGTAATAGTATTCAATTATAGTACAATTCCTATTTCACAGACGGATCAAAATGACTCTATTAGAATGTAATAATGAGGCTAATAGTCAATATGGCAATGTACCTTAATTGTGCAACATCAGCAGCATACGATATCTCTTTTAGATTGTACTCTAAGACTTTAAGAAACATTTCTGAGAGAACAATACTAGAAAAAAGTGACAAAAGTTCATTGATTAGCCAGACGCTTGCATTTCTTTAGAAAGTTTGTA